CATCAACTTTTTATTTCTTCTTATACCTTTTAGAGATCAATTTGAAACCTATACACCACCATAATGTACCATTGTAATTTCGTTCCACGTTATTATTTTTTAATACACCCACAAAATTACTTTGTTTTAATTCATTACAAATGGGAGTCTCAGAAGTTTTTAAAATTAGTAATAACTTTTGTTCATTATTAAGAAATCCTTCATTATTTCTTACAGCGTCTTCTAAGACTATTAAGTCATAACTTGTTTTCATAAAACAATTTTTTTATTTACATTTCATACTTGATACTCTCTATTTGCAAATTTGTTTGATTAGCTTAGCTAAAGTAAGTCATACTCTTTAAGAGGCCACCTAATGTTAACACTATATCTTCTTTTATCGATAGGCATTTGTTAATGACTGCGTCCACTAAGTATTCTACACCAACAGCTCCCTGTCATTTTAATTATTTTTTTAAATCTTCAGATAGATATTCATTAAATTTCCTCCAAACATGCAGGGAAATTAACTAACTCGGCAGAACACTAAAATAATTGTAAATAGATCCCAAATCATGTGTGGTGATGGGCAAAATATGCTACCTTTTCTAGTGTTATATGTAAATACTAACCATAGTCAAGTACCTAACTCTAAAGCCTTGCACGTAGATTAAAAAGTAAGTAAAACTGACCATTTACAGTTTTCAATACTTCATACAGAATCAGGTCCCGATCTTATGAAGAATCATTCAAAGGTGATAGCATTCTGTATTATTCGAATAAACAGTATAAGCTCTACTCAGAGAGAACTCTTTTTTCTAGCCAGCCTTCAACGTTCTCAAACGTAGTATACAGGTAGTACGTAGGTGCTTCTGGGCAGAGCAAAGTTTTTGTAAAATCATCCACTTTACATAAATTAAAAAAGGTCTGATATTTTTCATGCTTATAATTAGTACGTAATTTGTATGAATTTGTACGACTATTTTCAGAATTTATACGGAGCTCGTGCACTGTGAAAAATTCGTTTTTCGCGGGAGGGGCTGGAATACAATTATTCAAGCCCCTCCCACCAGTAAAAATACACGTTTTACAAACATTTATTTCGCGAATAATTAGTACGTAGTTTATATGAATTTGAACGACCAATTTACCGCTTTTATTGATTAGTAAAGTGTTACATTAACAAAATATAAAATATTTTTAGAAAAATTCTGTATGCTTAAAATCTTTTATATTATTATATTCATAATTTTATTATTAATATTTATACAAAGGCGTATTGTAAATATACAATTTCTACTTTAAACATCTATATGTTTTGATGTTTATGGAAAGATGTAACATACATTGGGAGTTATTTGACGACCTAAAAAAAAAACCAATACCTGTCAATGAAACTACTAATATTTCATGCGAAATTATAATGTATTCAATATAAAAACTAGTTAGTAGAATTTTTATTTTTAAGTCAAATTGTTGTATGTTGTTCACGTTGCGAACACTTGCCATGTTGTCATTTTCGTGCGATGCATAGCGGTGCGGTGCGTATCTGCGGCCATTGCCGTCGGCGGCGATAAGCCTCCGTGCGCAACCGGACGGGTACGTAATCGCGCTGTTATCATCGCACGTAAATGTATTCGTTATTCCACGTTTTCAAATTTGTCGGTAATGATTCGTGTAAGTTTTAAATCATGCTCTCAGTGCCACAAATTTCATTAATTTCGAGTGTTTTTCAATTTTGTGGGGTGGCACTGAGACATTTAATCTTCATTTTGGTATCCAGCGACCAGAGCCTTCGTGGTAAATGTCGTCAGCACCGTCTCGCTCTCTTCTGTGTGTCTTCATGGTGTGCACATCAAGCTTCATTTTTGTTAAGTCTTCGTACGTTCGCAGCCATTTTCGTTCAAACCACGTTGTCGAATAGTGTTATTTTCGTTTGTGAATCGACCGTCTGGTAACGTATCGTTCGAGGAAATCTAATATTGTCCAGCGAGTAATTCATTGCTTTTTCAGTTTACTAGCGGTCGCTTTGTGATTAACGTGGTTTTTTTCATTCATTGTGTCATTGTCCAGGGCTAGGTGGTTGCACATACCAATTCTGTGATTTATTTTTATTTATACACTGCGGCGTAGGCAATTGTCTAATCACAGAATTGTTGCGGTCGCGTGGATGAAATCAGTCATTCAACATAGTCACATATGAGTATTAGTCGACCATATTTGTTTTTTATCATTGTGTAAAGGCCGACGAGCCTAGCCACCAACGGCTGTTATTTTTATTATAATTATTCATACACTGCGGTGTGCCGTCATAGGCAAATTATTATTATAAATTATTGATTTTTTATTTAGTGTGCGCCGTGTGGGCCACGTATTTCATTATTTATATTTATATTTATTATTTTTTCATTATTTATATTTATTACTAATTTTTCATTATTTAAATTTATATTTAGTGCATTGTGCCAACCAGGCAACATTACATATTTTTTATCACTATTGTTATCATCATTATTAAATTATACAATCCATTTAAACCTTAATTTTATTTTTTCTATTTCTTTTATTCACACAGCATATTATTACATTTTCCATTTTTTTATACAGCTGTTAAGGCACCTTTATTTATTTTTATAAGAGCTGACAGCAGCGACATATGTAAATTGAATATTAACAAAAAAATTAAAAATCAGATATTTCTTAAGAAAATAAAAATAATTTCTCTTTTTATCCCATGTCATTGTTATGTAACATATAAATGTTTAAAACAGAAATAGTATGTTTGCAGTACGACTTTGTATAAATCTTCTTCTTCTACTAATGGCCTTGCCTTGTCGTTGCAAATCTGGTTCGCCATTCTTCTTTATTAAAAGCCAGTCTTTTCATGTCTATGTATCGACTGCAATCAGCTTGTTTTATCATTTCTTCTATATATACCTTCCTTGGTCTGCCTCTCCCTTTGTAACCATTTATTCGTCCTTCAAATACTTTTCCTTTCTATCCAACTGATTTTCATCAGTCTTCTCCATATCCACATTTCCAAGGCTTCCAACTTCTTCTTGTCTTGCCTATTGATGGTCCATATTTCATAGCCATATAATAATACACTCCACACATAACATTTGGCAAAATTTTTTTTCATATTTATATTAAGATTTTTGTTTACAAATAGTTGACGTATGCTCTCTTTGCCATAGCTATTACTTGTCTGATTTCTATTGAGCATTTACCATCCCTTGAAATCGTACTTCCTAGATACTTAAATTGTTGGACTTGCTCTATTAAGTTATTATTATCCTTCAGCTTCACTACGGGAATTTCTTTTGCTTTAGTCACCACCATTGCTTTTGTTTTATTTGAATTTATTTTCATTTGGTATTCTTGTAATATATTTTTGAATGTGGTTAAGGATTTTTACATATCTTTTTCTGATCTAGACACTAAGGCAATATCATCTGCAAATCGTATTCAGTGGATCTTTTCTCCATTTATGCTTATTCTGTGAGAGTTTCTCTTATACTTGTCTATGATTTCTTTTGCGAATAAATTGAATAAGTAAAGAGATAAGGAACAACCTTGTCTTACTCCTCTTTTAATTTTTGCTGTGATACTATGTTCTCCTACTTCTATTAAGGTATCTTATTCTTTGTATAGTTACATTATTAGTCTGTCTTTCCAATCTATTCGTGTTTTTTTCATAGAGTTCATCAATAGTGCCCAGTTGACAATGTCAAAGGCTTTTTCTAGGTTAATAAAAATTATAAATGTATTTCTATTTACATTTAGCCTTCTTTCCGTGAGTACTCTAAGAGCTAAAATTGCTTCTTTTGTACCAATTCTCTGTCTAAACCCGAATTGATCTTCATCGAGCACTTCTTCGATTTTTTTTTTCATATCCTATTTTTTATAATGATAAGAAGTATCTTTGACGCATGTGTTAATAAATTTATTGTTCTGTAATTCTTGCATTCTGTGGGATTTCCTTTTTTAGAGATTAGTATAATTTTGCTTTTAGTAAAGTCCTTCGGAATGTTGCCATCCTTGTACATTTTCTCAATCATTTCTGTTTATGCACCATCGTGACGGTCGTCGAGGATTCGCCAAGACCACCGTCGGCACCCCTCTTTATTACCCCCACCGGTTACGCGCACCCGGTCGCCCGGGCTGTCGATCGCGGTGGTGTGTGAGAAAAAACTTGTTTTCGGTTCTGGATTCGTTCGCGTTCGGCCGGCGGATAACTATCGTGCCTGCGCCGCCTTTTCCGTGTGTGTTGTCTTCTTAAGGTCGATTCCTTCTTTTTTGTACGCGAGTGTCGTTTGGTCGTGCGTTTTTGATCCGCCACCGTTGGTCGATCTCGTTTGTGTGTCACCGCGTATAGTGTCAACGCGTCCTTTTTTATATAATATCGACCTCGTGGTCACTTTCGCAGCCTTACATCCGTACGCCCTGTTTATCGCGTCGGTTGATTGGTGGACAGTGGTATTGTGCCATCACCGTGCACCCGTGTTTCACGAACTCGCTTTTGTGTGTGTTAGATACCACCTCTTCGAGTGCGTTTCCCGTACGTTAACCTGTTTTTCGGTCGCGATCACTTTAGTTATGTTGGCGTCCACGTGGTTTTCACCCGTGGTCCTTTTTACAAGTCGGTTCGTGGTGCGCGTCGCGTACGCCAGTAGTACCAACTTCGTTCCCGACACAAGCAATCCATTGCCACGAGTGTTGTCTGTTGCGGTCTGCTGGTTGGTAGCACTACGTATTTACGCTGCCATCTAGGGGACAGGTGTAACGATTTTCAGTTGGACCCTTATCACCACCACTCGAGATAAGATTGTTTTTATTTACTCATTGTCTGTAAACTTTAATAATAATAAGTGTGGTTTGTGCCCAAGGGCCTATTATTTATTGGTCTATTATTTCTATGGCCCTTTGTTGTCCTTAAACACCATCATCTCCTCCTCTCACCATATTACTTAATATTCTTCAGAGCGCACGTTCGCGAGTGTCGCGCGGCCGGCTGGCGATCAATATTTTTCAACAGCTCCGCGACGGTGCGTACAAACAATTTCAAATATCTTATGTTCAGTATCTTTTCCAACGTATTTTAATAATACAGCCGAAATGTTATCTACACCTGCTGCTTTACCTTTTTTCAATTCCCTTAGTGCTTTAATGAATTCGTATTTTGTTATAATTGGCCCTATGTCCTCTTTGTTTGACTCGATTATATTTTCAATATTCATGTCTTCTCCTTTCAATCCTTCATACAGGTCTTCTATGTATTCCTTCCATCTCGTTACTATTTCACCTCCATCTAGGACCAGTTTCCCATTCTTATCTTTAACAATTTTGCTTCTTAGCTTCGATAATCTTGACAATCTTTTAATCACTCCATATTTTTTATCCATTCTATTTGCTGTCATATTTATTTTAATATTTTCGCATGTTAAATCCATCCATTTCTCTTTTTCAACTCTACATTTTTGAGTAATACGGTTCTTTATTATTTTATACATCGCCTCATCTTTCTTCCTTAATTTATTTCGATGTTTTATTAAGTTCTTTATTTCATTCGTTATCCATGGTTTCCTAGGATTCAGTTTTCTAAATCCAATTGTTTCTACAGCAAATTGTCGAATATTGTTAATCACTTCATCCCATAGGGAATCGGTACCAACAACTCTCAGTCCATTATAAACTTTATTTTGGAACTCTTGTTTCGTTTCTTCACTTTTGAGTTTTTCTACGTCCCATATGTTACATTTGGGTCGCTTTGTAATTTTCTTGTGTGCTATTTTATATTTCATCACTACTAGGTTGTGGTCGCTATCTATTTTCACACCAGGAAAACTGTGACCTGTCATTATTTGTTTCTTTAAACGACTCCTTACTAATACATAGTTAATTTGGTAACGATTAATATCTCCTGATGCTACCCATGTAAAACGTCTTCTTTTCGGTACTTCAAACATTGTATTGGTAATTAAAAAATTGTTCTGTTTACAAAAATTGACTAATCTTTCACCTCTGATATTTCTTGTTCCTAAACCATGTTTGCCTATTATTTGATTGTCTTTTCCTTCCCCTACTACTGCGTTGAAATCGCCTATAATAATTACATTATCGCTATTTCTAGAAATTCCTAGCAGTTCATCTAAAGAGTCATACACTTGTTCAATTTCGTCGTCTTCACTATTCGAGGTTGGAAAATAAATTTGATTAACTATCATGTTTACTGTGGATATCTTCAATTTTATTAGTAATATTCTATCATTCACATGATAGGTATTTTATACTTGTAGTCCCCATTTTTTATATAATAATATTTCAACTCCGTTTTTTCCTTGCTTGTCTCCACTATGTATTTTTCGAAAGTCATCACTCCAGAAATCTCCGTTATCACCCCATCTAGTTTCACACACTCCAAAAATTTCAAGCTGATTTAGTTTCATTTGTTGTTTAAGTTCTTCTAACTTTCCCGGTCTTAACAACGTTCTTACGTTCCACGTTCCGATTTTAGTTGGAATAGTTTTGTTTTTGAATTTATTTCCGAATTTACTTCCAATAGTTTGTTTTTTGTTGTTTTTTGTTTTGTTGTTTTGGCATGGATTTCGCTGGCTGACGACCTAGGTAGCCATGCTCAGTCTCCCCCTGTCGGACTCCGGGTTCCGAATCCCATTATCTTGTTTAATATTTTTATGGTTGACCTTCATTGCCTGATGATTGGGAAAATTAATGCAATGGTTTCCCGTTGCCTTCTGCATCGCAATGACATATCTTATTACTAAGGGTTGCTATTCAAGTAGAGATGAATCTCTACTTGATACTAACTATGTTGCTACCCATTGTTAGATCCATTTTGGTCGCCCTTTACGATGGGCATAGACTGCTGTTGGTGTATTCTAGCCCCCGACCACAGGGAAATTTGTATAAATACTAATAATAAAATTATGAATATAATGATATAAAAGATTTTAAGCATACAGAATTTTTCTAAAAATATTTTATATTTTGTTAATATAACACTGCTAATCAATAAAAGCGGTAAATCGGTCGTTCAAATTCATACAAATTACGTACTTACTAATTATTCGCGAAATAAATTTTTGTAAAACGTGTATTTTTACTGGTGGGAGGGACTGGAATAACTGTATTCCAGTCCCTCTCGCGAAAAACGAATTTTTTTTTGGTGAACGAGCTCCGTGCAAATTCTGATAATAGTCGTACAAATTCATACAAATTACGTACTAATTATAAGCATGAAAAAAATCACACATTTCTGGATGGGGGGGGGCAGGGAATGGACGTACACATATATTTAAACATAAAATCAATGTACTATTGCTCTCAAAAAGATGTTTCTATGTGAAAGAAGTCTTGGTAATCAGTTTATATTTCAAATGATGGTTAATATAGTAGAAGAATCACACTTCTTAATAAGGTATATTGATCATTTTAAATTCTAATTTTCATACACAAAAAAAGCATCTAGAATTTGAATAAATCGAAAATTTCAAGTGTCTACAAAAACTTATTCATATACTAGAAATACATAGAGTTAAAGTATATTATACGGTTGAATTAGCTTGCTGAGATGATGAAATGTATATTGTTGGATATGAGTCCTGGTTCTAGAGATTCCAGAAATTTTTTATAATATTTTGTATTCGTGTTGCTTAAGCAACTTTCAGTAAAATGTGTTTTAAATTGATATGAATCCCACATGCGACCCGTGTTGATATGTCCTCATTGGACTTCAGAAATCTATGTGATATATATGTGTCCATTTGGAGTCTGGTGGCAATGACTTCAAACTTTCCTGATAATTCAAGGAGGAAAGGCCAGCGATATATTTCGTTTAATTTTTTTAAGTTTGGTGAATTTAGATGTTTATATGTGTATATGTGTATCTGTTTATAACTAAGAGTAACATATCAATGAAAGATAAAGTTCAAAATAAGGATAATTCTGTTTGTGAGAAAGCTTTTTGGTGGCTTGATTAGCGTTTTATTTTCTGTTAGGGATGGAATGGTCGATAATTTAAAATATTTTAATTTTGTTGTTGTTATTACAATTTTGGATTCGAGTACTGATATCTGATATCTTATGAGTTTTTTTAATATTTAATGGTTACACTAAGTTAGTCTGTTAATACATGCTGGGTCTTAATTCTATTGATAACACCTGTATGTGTATATATTATGAATACGGAGACTTTTCAAACACTATATTCAGTGCGTTATTTGTATATAGTATTAAAATAAAATAACTTATAAACTAACAAGTAATCGAGAAATATGCAAAACCTATTTGACATTTTGAGTACTGTTCAGTACTCAAACTCTCTTCAAATCATATTATGATACTTCCTTAGAAGAAACCCAATTTAACATAAAACAAATTCTAAAATATGAAAAATAGAAAAATTAGGTACGTGAAATAACAGTTAACCTAGAATATTTAACTTCTTTGATATACATGACTATGAAATGAATTAAAATGTTATATTCAATCTTGATTCTTAAAAAAAATAATACCCTTTTTTTTATTTATTTATAAGTTAAGCTGCAAGAAAAAAATATATAGAAAATGTAGAGGTGAAAATAATTTAAAATTAAAATATGTAATCATGTATATTATAAAAATAAAATCAGTGACGTCTTAAGAATTTACAATTACTTAAGGCATTCCCACTAGTGATGGAAATAATTGAATGGAATAATAGAATGATTTTTATAGTCCTAATAATGTACCAGACATATTTATCAAAAGTAAATTAATTGAATTATTCGAAAAAATTGAGTGTTTACTCATTGTCCATTAAGTACTAAATTAAGAAGTCGACTATCCATCAGTATTGTATTATTATTTATTTTATTTTTAATCATTGGTATAATTCCCGGTATCGGTAATCACCACACTAATTGGTTTACCGTTACGTATAAATATTTGGATTGAAAATGCATTTCATTTTCACGCTTATAAATAATTATTTAATCATTTATACCAGTGGTTCTCAATCACCTGTCTGCAATAAAAAAGATGCCGGTCCGTATTGTGTTGTTATCTAATCTATTTTTAGTGTAGTATTGGAAATCGTGTATGTATATTAAGAAATATTTATCAGTACCATATTATATTACTCATCATACTATCGCAACGTATCTACGTCCAAATAATAATATTGGTTTTCAATTGTCATTGTGCCGTTGCGTCTATATGACGTTTGTTCTGTTCAATAAACACTTTTCAAAAATGAATTCTAAACAAACTTACTTATTTAATTTTTACAAAAAAAATAATATTGATATTGCTGTTAGTTCAGTTTCGGAGTCCGTTGATAATAACATTGCGTCACCACCTAAGAAGAAGAAAAAAAGGTACATTTGTTCGTAATTATAATGATAATTATACTAAATATGGATTTATTTGTTTTTCTTCTGGCTCTAACGACATACCAAAACCACAATGTGTATTGTGTTTTGTGATTATATCTAATGAAGCAATGAAGCCTAAACTTATTCATCACTTGGAATCAAAGCATAAAGAATTAAATAATAAACTTTTACTTTTTTATTCGAAAAAGTAAAGAGTTAACGGCTCAAAAAAAAAATTATGTCTACCATTTCTAAGGTTGAATACTCATTAATTAAAGCATCTTATCTGGTAGCATTTCGTATTGCTAAATGTAAAAAAAACGTATAATATTGGGGAAACTTTAATAAAACCTTGTTTACTTTATGTTACTAATAAACTTTTAGGGTCTTCCACTGCTAAAAAAATGAATGATTTACCTTTATCTAATAACACAATTTGTAAAAGAATAAATGATATTTTTGTGGATAGTAAAGAACAAGTTATAGATAAAATTAAATTATCGAAATGGTTTTCAATACAACTTGACGAAACAACAGATATATCTCAAAAAGCCATTTTGCTATGTTAAGTGCGTTTTATTGATTTTCAAATATCAGAATTGTGTAAAGATTTATTATGTTGTTGTGAAATACCTTCACATATTACAGGGAGTGAAGTATTTAAACAATTAAATGAGTACGTAAAAAAAATCCAACTAAACTGGAAAAACTGTCCGTGTACACGGATGGTGCAACAAGTATGACCCGAAAACATTCTGTTGTAGTTTTCAAAATTAAAAATGTAGCAAACAAACATTTTATTCATATACATTGCACTATACATAAACAACATTTAGTTGCGAAAAAAATGTTACCAGATTTGAATGAAGTATTGACTGAGGCAGTAATAAAAATAATTAATTTTATTAAATGCAATGTCTTTAATTCAAGGTTATTTTTAATTTTATCTGAGGAAGTGGGATCTGAGCATTGTCATTTATTGATACATACTTATTGATACATACGAACCTCTGTTCGTTGGTTATCCCATGTTAGAGTCCTGAATAGGTTTGTTGAGTTAAGAAAAGAAATAGAATTATTTTTAATTCAAAAAAATATCAATTATATTTCAATTGTTCATAGTACTGAATGGATCGCAAAATGTATTTATTTATCTGATATTTTTAACATAATAAATACCCTTAATTAAAATTTACAAGTTCCACTTACAACAATTTTCACCATGTATAATAAAGTTTATGCATTTAAAAATAAAAATAAAACTATGGATAACTCCTATTCAAGAAGAAAACTATGAGATGTTTCAATCTTTTTCGTCATTTATAGAAACTAATGAGGTAGACATTGATAATAATAGTATCAAAATTATTATTGAAAATCATTTGCAATCATTACATGATACATTTGAAGATTATTATCCGATGAATCAAGATCCACGAGACGGATATTTGTGGATACAAAATCCATTTTTAACAAACTTTCAACATGAATTGTGCCTAAAAGAACAAGAACTTTTGTTAGAGTTATTATCAGATGCTGGTCTACAATCTAAATTTAAAACTATGTCTGTAACCAAATTTTGGATTAAACTCAAGGATGAGTATTACGTGTTTTTCGAAAAAGCAATGAAAATTCTCCTTCCATTTTGTTCGATATATTTGTGTAAAGATGGATTTTCTGGAATGACCCACATAAAAACGAAAACTAGATATAGGCTCGATGCCACATATAGTCTACGTGTAACTTTGACTATTACATTGGAACGAAGATTCGATAAAACAGTCAAAACAAAACAAGTACAACGCTCTCATTAAATATTTTTTTTTAATTTAAATATTTACAAATTTTATATTTATTTTTATTTTTATAATTGATACACCGGTATTGATATATTTTATTTATATTTATATATGCTATTAACTTTTTATTAAATTTAATACACTAATCTGCAGGCAAAACTAAAAAATTAAAGCATTACTTTTTTTATCTTTTGAATCAAAACCTAAAGTAGTCCGTATTCCTACTTAAAACTAGATATTAGATTCTAGGTTGTCCGCGAAAACAAAAAGGTTGAGAACCATTGATTTATACAACCAATTCAAGCAGTTAAATCATGAATCATTCGATTATTTGATTATTTTGTTTTCGACTACTAATCATTCGATTATTTTTTTATCAATTAATAATCATTCGATTATTCCCATCACTGATTCTCACACTAAATACATCGACGTCCGTTGCGATGATGAGCTCTTAATAAATTCTACATATTTAAATACGAATCTGCACACTGAATACACTAGATACGATGCATCAAAATTCAATTACGTCTATATTTGTGATAGCTCCAAAGAAAAAAATCTAAAAGCGTCAAATCACATAATCCGGAGGCCAGTTAATGTCGCCGTTGGGCGAAATCAAAATGCCTCAAATCGTTCACGTAGAATGTCCATCGTTGCATACGCTGTGTGACATGTAGCATCGTCCTGTTTGAATAACATGTATTCAGTATCTACATTCTCCAGATTAGGTCACAAGAAGTTGCTGATCATTAATCTGTAGCACCCGCCGTTTACGGTTATGGCAATACCTGTTTAGTTTTGAAAGAAGTACCGATGATTCCACCAGACCATAATCCGCTCCAAACAGTGGTTTTCTCGGGATGCATTTTGTTCTGGTGTATCTCGTGTGGATTTGTATCGTCCCAAACCCGACAATATTGTTTGTTGACCTAGCCATTCATCCAAAAATGGACCTCGTCGCTAAAAATATTTTTTTAGCGAAATTTGGGTCAACTTCCAACTTCTTCAGAGCCCAATCAACGAATACACGTTATATTATATATGATCGTTTACCTTAATTTCCTGTGTTGGTTGGATTTTATATGGGTGCAGAACCAAATCGCAAAATTCGCCAAGATAAAGTCGCAGGAAGACTAAGTTCTTGTGAACGACGAGAAATTGACTACCTTGGGTTTTCCTCTATATTATCACACACGCGATGTTCTCAATGGACCTTGCATTTCGGTGACGCATGGGTATTGGCTGATAATTTATTGAACCGATTGACTCGAATTTGGCCACCAAACGAAGAATAGTCGACTTAGCGGGACAGTTGTGTCGAGAATAAAAATCAAGTAATGGGTGGAACGTTTCTTTAAAACAGACCACTGATTTTGATAGTAAAATTTAATTATAAACACACATTGTTCAGTGCTATAACTATTCATAGTGATTCGCCATACACTACTAAAGAATTCACAACACTTTAGCAGGTAAAGCTTTAACGACATTCCCAATATAAACGATCAAAGTTCGAGCATCTGTATTGAAATACCCGTTATTATTCCAGTAACTTACATTAATAATTTCAATTTAAATACTTTATAAAATTTAAAATTTGATAATTAAAAATATTCATAATTTTAATTGTATTAAGAACAGGCTACACATAAAGCGAACGTATACAACCGCCGAGAGAACGCACTGTTAAGTGTTTTTGCAATCCGCAAGCAGGCGACGTTTGAGCCACGCCCACTATTCATAATGAGCGGCCGGCATACGGTTGTGCTCATTCGGGAGCGACGTTTATTATTTTCTGAACCTTTGTCGATGGCGATTCGCGTAAATATACACGTAAATGCAGTCGTAATATTCTTAATATCTGCGGGTACTCACCCGATTTTTTATTTATTGCATTATTAGATACTTTAAAAGGAATATATATTTTACCTAATTTATAACAATAATATTAACTAATATTACATAAATATCTAAATATAAGATTTCTAGTGTATGTATCTAAATATATTGCATTATTGCGTTTATTTTATGTCATAATTTCTTATGTGTATCTGCTACCACGTATATTTTTTTATGACAGTTTTTAAGTATTTTATAAATATGATACAGTTGCACATATCAAAATCAACTATTTTTTATACAAGATCTTACCTTTCTATTTACTTACGAATTACGATGTATAATAATAAAATACAAAAAAAAAAATAAACACATTTAGGTATACGTTTTAACTTAGAATTAAGAGCAAAATTAAATTATTTAATTTAATGACTTTATATTTTCCTCTTTTTTTTTTTTTTTTTTTTTTTTTGTTCGTTTGATTTAATAACATTTTTAATTCGAATCGGTTCTCGAATGTCCGACTTTAACATTCTTTTTGGAAACCGAGGGTCTATTAATTCTAGTAACAAACATTCCCAGTAAAATCTAAAAAAATAATATCATTGTATTATTTAAAAACTTACTCGAATTTTATTGCAAATAATATGATGGAATATTACGACTGTAGTGCTTTCACCATTTTATTTTCTCAGAAAACATTATCATATTGGATTATTTCAACATGAATCCATTTGAAAGTGCGTACAATAAAATAACATATTTCTCTCTTTGAAATATGTAACTGTCCCATGATTTGAAAGAAATATGCATGATCGTGTTTTAGTACAACTTTGTTATTAATTAAACTTCAATATTGTAACTAAAATATTTAAAAACAATAAACGTATCAAATTATTTTTATAATCTAATTAAAATTTTTTAATTCTCATTCTAACTAGTTTTTTTTTTACTGCGTCAAGTGCACTAATAGTATTTTGTGATGCAAACGGGCATTTTATTTCTACGACTGTATTACTTCCAACTAAGCCATCAAAAAATAATATGTTGAAACAATTAAATATATTGTATAATATATTTTATTCATACTATATAAACTAAAATTTAAGAATATTATACCTGGATTAGCAGCTAGAAATGAAATTATCGGATCTACTATTAAACCGCTGGCCTGAATTTGTTCACCAATAATTTTTTGAACTTCTTATAGAGCTATATCCTCCATGTCACGACCATGTTTTAATGATTTTTATTGAGCTTCAGATATATATAATATATTATACATTGTGTTCTTACAACTTATAGTTCTACGCATTTTACAAATCTGACCAAACCGAAAAACCGTAAGACGTAATCTACGTTATCTGTACCGTGCGTCACTATCGGCTTGTCCACGAGTTTCCAATTCAATTTCATCCAGATTTGAGTTTTTTAATGAAACAAGTAATTGATTTTTTTTTTTCAAACATTTCTAGTGACAATTCTTCGACTAGAGGCTCTGCCAAACCGTAGTCCTCATCTGATCCGTTTTCCGTACGAGATTTTTTAATTATGCGGGTTTCTAGAAATAATACTCGTCTTCGTTTAGTATTGTTTACTATTCGAATATGGTTTTTTTAAATATTTTTTCCAAATGTTCCTAAACATATACATAATTAATCGATTGTATAATATATTTTAATAATATTTATTTAGTATTTATTTTTTTATTGTTAGAGAAGTTCCATTATTATACATTACTGTTATTCGTTGATATTTTATAATTATAAATTAAGTTAATTTTAAATAATAACACTAAATATACCTGGACTGATATTATTTGTCATTTTTTTGTGAAGCTTTCGTAAAAATTGTTTGCTATTAAATGAAACAACAGCAGCTTCAACACGTGTATTATAGTTCCCTCGGCTAGAAAAATTAATTCTTTTGCTAGCAACGTGTTTGTTAATTATCGAATTAATTTGTTCACAAATATTGTTGTCTTTATTTTCCAACATATATTCCGCATTCATAATTAGTCTCAACATGCAACTTTAGATTTCAAACATAATTCCTCCATTAATAGCCTCTGAAATTAAATTTAATTCATTTATTTTTGAACAATTACAAAAATAAGTTTCACAGTTGGTATGTTTGCCTAAACGATGAAATGGACTATTACCCAAATCTATTCGAATTCCTGAAAAATAGATATACATATAATATGTAAGTTTCCACGAGGTAAAAAAAAGGTATGTATAAGTCCCTATTCACTACATACATTTATATTGAATAATAATAAAAATACTATATTTTATGGTTGTGTTTATATGCAGGTACGGTACCTACGCATAAATCGTTATATGCAGGTACGGTACCTATACATAAAACGTTAAATGCAGGTACGGTACCTACGCATAAAATGTTGTATGCAGGTACTGTACATTCGTATCGAAAATAAAATATAAAACTGAAAAAAAACAGTCAATCATTCTTTGCTCGGTAATCATGGATATTGTATACAATAGGTACTTGAAGTACATACAGTTTGAACATACACGATTAGAGTGATAAATTCGATAAGTGAAAAAAGATAATATCATGTCTATTGTTATGTACATTTTATCACAATGAACAAAAAAAAAACCGTGAAGTGTATACGGCCCGTAGTATAAATATAAATTTCGAATGTACCCACAAGTTGAAAAGGTTAGGCACGCTTGGTATAAAACTTAATAAGAGTAATTGGCAGATTATTTCATCACATTAAGATTATCACTGTCTCGATAAGGTGACGTGAAGATTTTCCACCACACCGTTAATCAGTCTTGAATTGTACTCATCGCAATATTATCACATTGTAAAAACAGTAAAGTTAAAGTACAAAAGTATATTACATGAAACCAGTTGCTCGCAGACACTTGTCTGCATTTTATTCTATGCTCCGTGATTCTCCGTGGTCCTTTCTGTGTTTAATTTTGTGTTCTATGCATAGTTATTTGTTCGGTTTTTTGCGTTTTTTTGTGTGAAGCGTGATTTTTTGAGTTCTTTCATTATCATGGATGATATTAAGAATGATATTAAAGTGGGCCAAATATTCAACAGTCATGAACAATTTTTTGAAACTTTTAAAACGTTTTGTGATGAGAATTACCAACCGTTAATTGTTACCAACAACAATAAGCGTCAAGTTACAATTCTTTGCCGACATGGTTACAACCGGCCTTCAAATAGTACGGGTAAACGAACTAAACTATACTACAATTACATTGGGTGCAAAGCTAAAATTACCTGTTTCAAGCCTGCTAACTCTACTCGGGTCAAGATAACGAGTGTTAGTTTAGAACATAATCACGAAATAAGTAGGTCTGCGTTTGGAACGACTAGAATGAAACTCACTGGTAAACAGAAAGACGTGTTGACAGATCTTCACGACGCAAACTGTAAAGTCAGTCAGATCAGTCGTGTATTTCAAAGTAAATTTGACAAAAAACTTTCATCGCAAAAAATTCGAAATTTGCTTCAAAAGTTAGTTCCCAAATCGTCCGATGAATCGGAACTGCAGATGTTTCTGGAAGGAATTGAGGAAGCGGGAGGTGACGTAGTCAGTAAATTAGATGTTGAAGGAAACGTTTCAGTGCTTTGTATTAGTTCAAATATTATGAAAAAATCTTTTGAAGCTTCATGCTCAACTGTCGTTCAAATTGACACATCGTTTGATTTTGACATGTCCAAATATAAATTGTGTGGCTTTTGTTATCTCAATCCTACTACCAATAAAAGTGAGATGTGTATGCTGGCGTTTCTATCTGAAGAGACCAGCAGTAATCTCCGCATAGCTTTTTCAGTTTTTAAAACGATATGCACTCAAGATACGAATATTTTCATAGTTGACAAAGATTTTAATGAAATTTCTGTTTTGAAGGAAGTGTTTGAAAAAGCAACCATTTTACTATGCACATTTCATGTAATAAAATATGTTAAAAATCATGTAGCAACAGCACCCGTAGTGGTTGAAATTAAAAATGACATTATGAGTAAATTCAAAAATATGTTGTATGCTCAGAGTGAAAAGCTCTACGATGAAAATAAAAATATTTTTCTCGCTTCAGTTAATGATATTCAGGTTCGAGTCAACATGAAGTACGTTTCACTAAAAGACCAATTCAACAACAATTGGGACAGTTGCAAAAACATGTGGGTTAAATGTTTTAGAAATAACCTTCCGACGTTAGGAGACAACACAAATAACAGAATTGAAAGATCTTTTTGGACATTAAAACAAAGTCTTCATACAAGGTTCTCTTCGCTTCCTGAAATTTCTCAAAGTATCGTTCATCTTGTATCGTTCTGCTCAGAAAGACTTACTGAATCCCCTTCTACGGCAAATCTCAGATCGCTGAAAATACATGACAAAGACACTAACATCTGTAAATTGAATGCTGAAGCATCACTTGCCTTGAATGACCGTGGTTGTGTACTTTTTCATAAAAGCTTGAAAGCTTTACAAGACCGGAAAGAGTTTATGAAGTTGGAATGTGGAGGTGTACGAGAACGATATGAAGAGGATGAAGTCGTTTATAAATGTTCGAATACTGAATGTACCTGTACGTTCTATGCTAACAATCAGTCTCCATGCCGCCATATACTACTAATAAGAAAACAACAATGTGGGTCACTCTCAGCCGTTTTCGAATTGTCTCTGTTTCATAGTCGTTATCATCAACGAAGAAATGTAGAGCTTAATTATACAGCTACGCGTAATTTAGATGAAATAGAAGATCAAGTACAACTAGATGAGATAGAAAATAGAGTACGTCTAGATGAGGAAGAAGTTCCGGTATTGAGTAACCGTCAAAAATACAATATGATGTTGCCTATCGCCCTCAGCATCGCTAGCCTATCTGCTTGCCATGGAACAGACCAATTTCAAGCTTACCTTAAGGGTATGAAAGAAATTGAACGTATCATACGATCTGGTTCTGAAATTGAAAATTGTTCATTACTTGCAGCGAGCGCTTGTGCATCTATAGAAACTAAACCAAAGTCAACACTCGCAATCGAATTCGAGCCTCCAGTACAACAAACATTGAACGAAGAGGACAATAGCGAAGGAACATCAACCACACTTGAAGACGAAAGCAAGCCTGCTGATCTATCTGGACGATTACTACTGAAGTTTAAGGATAAATTGAAAGTTAGAAGTTAACAACTTTGCTCCTTCAATAAAACAAGTGTTGATAGAGCCACTAAAAAAAAACATAGCAGTGAGCCACCCTCAAAAAAACAAAAAAAGTGATGAAGGTAATACCTTATAATACAGGTAATTATAATATAGGTACTTATAATAAGTGACAGCATATCAAATAGTTTGATATATATATATTCTATTTGACGCATTTTATTCATGTAATAAAATATGTAATATTGTAATAAATAATATGACGTAATATACCTTAAAAAAATTTAATGATTTTCATGTCTGAATGATTTTGACGCAGTACCTGCATATAACGTTTTATACGTAGGTACCGTACCTGCATATAACGATTTATGCATAGGTACCGTACCTGCATATAAACACAACCATATTTTATAATAAATTGTTAATCTGATGATATTGTCATATATTTTAATAAAAGAAAAAAATATACATTTATGTGGTTTATTTTAAAAACTTATATAATCATGTTGGTTAATTTTATATGTTAGTACCTCTACAATTTTTTCATTTATACAATTTTATTTTTCTGCATATTTTTGTTTTTGTGTGACTATCTGTAGTTCTTATTTTTATGTGTGTATTTACCTCAAATACTTTAAAAATAATTTCAACATAACTACAATTGAAATATTAAATTAAAATATATAAAAATAAAATTTTTATTATGATATTTTATTTTTTTTTTTTATAACAGTATCATCAGTTAGAAAACTAATAATTTTATATAAAATTTTAGTATTTTTTTTGCCTATCTTCTGCCGTGTAGGAACTTATATACACATCACATATGTAAAAATCGTATGTAAGTTTTTATCTGTTACTCTCGTATAGAAAGTTACGATTCCCAGTTAGGGTGGCTTCATAAAAAATTTTTAAAATAATACACCTATCTTTAATTTTTTGTGACATAGTTAAATCATTTAAATTTCACCAATGCTTAGCAGCTTTTGTGACATAAGACCGGAACCGAAGAATGTTTGTAAATATAAATTTGCGGATATTTTGAATTTCTAGCTAACGCTGTCAATTTAGATGTATTCAATTTTTTTTATGTAAAAGTTTGATCCGTACGGCTGAACTTCGTGAAGCTTTTTTGTCACACTACTATCATCATCCCCAACATCAAAACATGTTAGTATGTTACGAGTTATATTAAATACTAAACCAAGTATCTCTCTATTATACAAATAAATGTTAGCATTTTTATTTTACCAATAATTTGATTAAACTTAAGTCCATGCATTTCCTGACTTTTTAAAAAGCCTTCAACCACACCATCAGCTTCCATACTAGTGGACGATTTTTTTCCAATTTAGGAAGCATTTATGATCTGGTACAACTTCTTTCCTCGACGCTGATCTTTGGAAAATAACACAATACTTGTTGTGAATACCAACAACCAAACTTTTTTGGTCTTATGGCCAATTATGGTCGCCTGTTAAAATGTACTTAATTACTATTTACTAAACTAACTATTAACAGATACACATATTGAGTACAAATTAAAATTACTCACAACACCAGATGACGCGTCATACTTTGTTTTATAATTGCGTTTGGACCATTGTTCATCCGCAATTACTGTAATTACAGGAATGCCATCTGTATCTATATTACCACAATTTATAGTTATTCTCTTTTCTTCCTCAACGGCCTTTTGCATTTATTCCCATGCAGTATCGTGAACAATTTCGGCTATAAAAGCCTGTGTTTAACAAAATACTACACGATAATGATGGTAGTTCTAAAAAAGCTGTGAATTCGTTCAACTGACTATGTCCAATCCCTATACATTTAAACTTATATATTTCAAATTACATATGTTTAGAGCTAATAAACATGATATAATATAAATGATATTTTATGTTATATATTATTTAATTGTATATTAATACATGATTTCATATAATAGTGATTTTTATACTTTCTATAACTAAAAAATATATAAAATAGTAAGATACATAAGTACATTTTTTTTTTTTATAAGCGTTTGAAGTTCAAATGTTAACAAATATCGTCAAAATAACGTACATTTACAAACTTTTTTTCAGTTAAAAACGTATACAATTTTTTTATTTTTAATTAAAGATACAATTGATACATCTTTCATTTTACCTATCAATTTTTACTATTTTAGTGTCATAAGTTCATAGACCAATTAATGATAAATAATTGTTATATATAATATAAAAAATACAAACCTTTGGCTTGACATGCTTTAACAACCGATTAACAAATTAACGATAACAAAATTCCACAAAAATCTTTTAATATTTACTGTCTTCGATAGGTTTTGTATTTTTAGTATCCGATGCATACTTGCAACAATAAGGTTATCACCTATGATAACAGTAAATACTTCCGTCATCACATAAATTAGCCTGTTTCACATAGCTCCGTTACACTGGTACCTGTATATTAAAAATTTGAATCGAAATTTACGTCAACGATTGTTATATCATTTGTATAGGTTTGTAACCACAACATTTTAATTTGTACAACCTCCCAAACTCAATGATAAATCACCTACTTTGTAATTGCTTCGTTTTCTCTTTTCTAAACGCCGCCGATAATATGTTTGACACTATATTATTAAACTGCAAATAATTTAATTTTTTATACAAAACTAGTGTTTTAAAGTTGAATTCCATTTGATTGAAAAATTAACTTCCACTTAAATAGTTATTATATTACTTTATAATTTGTTGGGATCTGTAAACTTCATCAACTACAATTTTAATAAAATAAATAAATAAAAGGGAGCGGAGTGTCCAAACATACTAAAGCATCTGTAGCAACGTGCACCATCACCGGTTCGAACCTCAGTCACAGGCTGCACTTCTCCCTGGGCAGACAACTGTCTAAAGAGAGAGACCTCCATCCCACAACCGAGCATGGCAGAAACCTACGGGTGCCCATTTGAAACTACCAATATTATCTACCTGATTATTTAGATGATTTGTAACAATTTACTACTAACAATGAAGTTCACATGATGCAACACTATGGTATAGTGAATTTCGACGAAGCAATTACAAAGTAGGTGATTTATCATTGAGTTTAGGTGGTTGCACAAATTATAATTTTGTGGTTACAAACAGGGCTTTGCACCCTAATCAGCCCGAACCCGTAACACTCCTATAAACCCTTAAAAAATCAAACACCCAAAACCCATATAACCAGAATGATTTTTTTTTTTTAAATACTTGAATTAACCAAAACCCGAATAAAATATTGATTTTAACCCGAAACCCGAATAATTTTTTATTTTACAATCTTTATGTGACATATAATTTTGTATGTATTTTTATGGTTATTTCAATTTTGTCATTAGTTGTTTAATAGTGAAACTATTATTCACAGGAATAATTTCATAAATAATATACAAAATTGTTAATTAATCTAAATTTATCTAAATAAAGACAATAGCAATATATCATATTGACAGATGTGTATGAATGGTATGGTATGTTGAATGTTCAAGTGTAAACAACTGGGATACTATTTTTAAAATTATCCCAAGCGGATACGTCGTATTATTATAATTTTATAGGTAATAGATCTTTTACGAATCACCGAGTCGTTATTTATTGCAATACTATAAGTCTGAAATAGAATTGATGTCTTGCGTATGATTACCTAAATTGTAGTTCGTGTTATTCGTATTTGTTCAGTGTATGACATGGAGTATATATGTCTATGGCGTGAATTGTCAATTTTTGTTGGTGTAATAATTTCATCGTAACATTCATAAGTACAAATTGTTATTATTTTTGTATTACGCTATATCCTAGCTAGTACATTTTTAGTGTGTGCATACACCACAAACCATAAGGGAAATTTGGTGAAATTTGTGGGGGGTGAGCATTATTTACTTATTACACCTATAGATACCACTGTGCGCAATTATTTATTTCAACAAGGCAATTCACGAAGTTTGACAATTTGACATTTTTAATCAACAATTTAAACAAAAAAACAATTAGGTGCCTTATCTTAAACATTTTTGGAGTAGGTATTCTAAAAAAATTATTAATTTATTAAATTAAACAACGTATACGGGTACTATTACATATTATTAATATTACATTAATTGAGATGGTTCCGAGTCATTACAAGAAGTTTGTAAAATTTTACGAATTTGATTTAATAACAGAATATCTTTTTTTAATTCAGCTATTAAAAATGCATTTTACAATTATAATAATAATTGTATTTTTAGTCACTTAACAATTCTTAGGGCTAGGGAGGCTAAGACCTGTACTTTATATTTCTGAGGAGGGGATTAGTCCCCTCAAGTCTCCCCCAATTTCCGCCTATGCCACAACCACAAACGCAGAATACAAAATAGTTTGTTTTTTGTCGCATGCGATATGCCCGCACTAACTAGGAGTAGGACATAGTGTTAGTATTTTTAATTTTAATAGATATTATAATTTATAAGCTTCATAAACATATTAAATAACCCCCTCTTCTCCGAAAATAAATTGTAGTTACACCATTATTTTAAATTAACATAAGGATAGTTTAATTTAAAAAACTGTTGCACAGTTGTATAAGAAATTTATATTTTATTACATAGACAGGTAACAAAAAATATAAATATTTCATTATTGGAGGGGGAGCTCAATTCCTCAACCACCCTCCACCAATGAAAAATAATATTTTTCCTTGACTACTTAACACCCGTATTAATCAATATTAACCCGAATAATAACGGTTATTAACACCCAAAACCCGAAAAAATTATTCGGGTGCAAAGCCTTGGTTACAAACCTGTACAAATGATATAACAATCGTTGACGCAAATTTCGAGTCAAATTTTCAATATACGGGTGCCAGCGTAACGGAGCTGTTTCACATGTTACGCTAATAATATCAAAAATAATCATATCCTATTGCATCGAAATGATAGTTTTTCGTTTTCATTCAGTTACAATTAAGTACTTATACATCGCGTCACGTTTCTTTTTAAGTTTAAGTTTTATTTGTTATTCTATAATGGAGATTGTGAAAAATAAATTAATTTTAAACGGTTATGTAATGATAAAAAATAAAGTTCGGGATGACCGATATTATTGGGAATGTGAAAAAAGGTGTCACAAAAAAAGATCACGGGATACTTTCGACAATTTTTGTAATGCTAAAGCTATAACAAATGTATTTAATGGCGTACACAATATTTACGGGACTCCTTTATTACATGCACCTGAGCACATCGAAAAACAATAATAGAAGTACGTAAAAATCTTAAAGAAAATGCACAATCCACCCATGATAAGCCATCACAAATTTTACAAGAGGTAACAATTAATATACCACTTATTACTGCACCTTATATGATTTCAACAGAAGCTGCAAAAAAAATTATAAAACGCCAAATAAGAAAATAGTTACCAACTGAACCAACTTTATTAAAAGATATTAACATTCCTAATAGACTTCGAAATGCTTTGAATGGTGATGCTTTTTTATTACGAGAATCGAAAGTTGTAGACGACATGATTTTAATATTTTCAACCAAGTTTGAACTAGAAAAACTTATAAGAGCTAATTTTTGGATTATGGATGGGACATTCAAGACAGTTCCAAATATATTTTTACAAATTTATAAAATTCACGCTCCTGTTGGTGGTATAATTTCTAGGATTCTATCTCTTGTTTATGTATTGATGTCGAGTAGAAATGAACAGTTGTTTGAAGATTTAATTGACATATGTGACAGTTATGGTTTTGAACTCAATCCAAAGTGTATAATTACATATTTTAAAAAAGCAGCAATAAATGCAGTATCAAACATATTCCCTCAATGTATTCAAAAAGGTTATTTTTTCTATTTAGGAAAAAATGTATGGAGAAAAATACAATCTATTGGACTTGCTATACAGTATGGCAGTGATGAAGATTTTAGTGTAAAACTACGAAATATTCCAGCACTAACACTTTTACCACCAGGAGAATTTAAACAAGTATTTAAAATAATAAAAAATGATTTACCAACCGAAATTCTGTATGGTTTAATGAAGTATATATAGATGGGAAAATTCGACGACCATTAAGAGACGGCACAGTAAACCGATCACCACCTTTATTTCCACCTTCGTTTTGGTCAATATATTTTAATAATGAAAATGGAATCCCTCGAGCTCAGAATAAGGTAGAGTCTTGGCACAAAAAATGGAACATTTTGATTTGAGCAAATCATGTAAGTTGTCTACGCATCATTTCAGAATTGAAAAAAGAACAATAACATATATTAGGTAAAAATATTTTATTTATTTATACATTCATACATATATATTTATTTTATTATTTGTAGGACAAATTTAATTAATTTTGGCTGGCA